TCATAGCATTTTTTTTGTTTTGTTTTTTCCTATCTGGACTATACTTTCTTATGCTTGATTTTATTCAGATATGTTATATGAAGTTGAAGTTTAAATTAAATTTAACCCATTGATCAAAAAATGGGCTTCACAACTTCACCATGTCACTTCACAACCTCTATCATACATAATTAATAGATCTTTTTTTTTTGTAATTCTGAAAGATGGAAACATTACAATAAAACCCCAAATTTACAAAACACAACAATAGTTTCGGATAAATTGAAGCTAGATTGAGAATGTAGGAGGGTTTGGATTTGTGACTCACAGTTTGTAAAGTTTACACTTATTTTTTAAATCATAAAAGTTAGAAAAAATCTACAATTAAATTACAGTTACCTCTTTTTTTATTTCTCTGCAACGCAGTTACAATGCACAAATACTTAAATGATTCAAAATTATTGTATTTCCATTATGGAAAACTCCAAAATCTTGCTAAAAACTACCTTAGATTTCCATAGATCATTTATTGAAATTTACTTTAAGAGATATAATTATATATTTTTGTGCTGCATCAATAAATTTAGTCCTTTATCAGTTATGTTATGTAGAATTGCTATGATATCTATAATATTCAGTAATAAACATGACATGGTGATGGAGAAAATACCTTTATAGCAAGGCCATTTTTACTGATCTGGATAAGATAAGACTTTCAATTCACTCGTCACATCGGCTCAATAGCCACTTATTTAACAGGATTATTGCATAGAGTATTAAATAGGTATTTATTAAATAGATACTTTAGATATTTATCATTGCTGACTCATATTCAACCTAAACTTTTGTTTATTTTGATTTTTTTTTGTTTATTTGTTGTTTACTTTTAGATATATTTCATTTTTTTTATGTATTATTGCATGTATTTATTTATTTTATGTGTCCAGGTGAAGCACTCCAGGGCCAAAAAGAATTACTATTGTAGAACCGATGAAGCGTTCCATCCTGGAATCATAAAACTCATTTTTAGGCTTTTCTACATACTTTGACGAAGGGCTCCTACAGCAGTGGAGGACACTTTATCTTTATTATATAGCAAAAAGTTTCTTTAAATATAAAATTAGTCACGCCCCGTGGAAACCAGCAATGAAACAGCAGCTGTTGGTTTATTAATTAGGCCGTTTTAAATGTTGATGAATACAAAAATAGGTTATTGTGGCAATAGGCTTTTCTACAAAACAAAGCATCTACAACAGATATTATAATAATACATAAATAGGCCTTTATTTATAACAATAGGATGCTTTACAGGAGTTTTTTTAATTAGTAATGAGCATTGAGGATTTTCGTCTTGATTAGCATTCATTAAGCCTATGTAGCACGCTGCACTTTCTCTCCCTTATAATGGTTTAAAAAGCCAACAAAAAATGTTTGACGTGTAAATTAAGTATTTAGAATATTGTTTATATTCTTTAACATTTCATTTAATTATTTCATCTAAGAAGGAATAAATGCAGAGGGATAATATGATCGTTAACGAGTTAAAAACGTTATAAATCATATAAATGGGAAGCTTTTAGCATGTTTTCTTTATTAAAATAATGAATTATTGGTAAGGTAAGCGAGAAGTCTGAGTGCTTTTATCTTTATGGTAATTTAACAGCAACAAGTTGATTGTCTTGTGTCTGATTGTCTGTATAGGAGTTTACCTTTTTCTGTTTTTGTAATCTTTCACCTGACGAGATCCAAGGTGGATAAAATAAATCACGGCGAAGATCACGTTTATTAGCTTTTCTCTGTTCAGCAGTTTTCTTAATATTAACACATCTGAGGCTATACTGTTTATTAATTCCTTGGGGTGAGACAAAGGAAAAGAGGAACTATAGAAATTTATGGTGTGGAGGTAGACGACAAATAGAGCCACGTTCGATACGCTAACGTGAGACAGTTTTCCTGTACAGGGTCTGCACTTAGTGAGGCATCATATGAGCGATTTGAAGCACTCTCTCCAGTCTCTTCAACCGCAATTTACTTTATCACTCTAAATGGGGAATAACGACGCTCAATTTCATGAAGCATCTCTCTCTTTCTCTGACAGAAATGAACAGAACACGGGTCAAAGAACGGAGCGATGGTTCCACAATAACTCCACCTGGATCACAAAGTTTATCGCCAGGGTCTTTGGTTTGTTTTGATCTCTGCAGGGTGCAATGGTGATACTGCGCCTCCGGTCTGGGACCATGTCCAGATTGCAGCTTCAGCACCAGCTCCCTTTTCTCACACCCTCCCACACGGTTTCTCCTGCACACTTACACCAGCCCACGCAATTCTTTCTGCTGCCCACTGATGCACAAGGCCGCCATATCTTTTGATGGTGCAGAGCATAGGGCAGTGAATATTTTTTTTTTGCTTATGGTTGCTGGGCTAAATGGATTACTTCATTTCTCTGTTTTAAAGTAGTCTGAGCAGACTTTCCGTGTGCGTTTCTGCCCATGACGGTATGTGCGTGTTTGCGTGTCGGCGATGCTTGCTGTGACTGAGTGATTTAGTATGCATGTGTGGGAAGGTGTGATTCTGATGCATGAAGGTGCGAGTCTCTCCTCAGTCCTTGCGCCGGGTTGTGGAGGTCATTCCTTTCCACTCGAAGGCTCTGATAATTTCACCTCATGATCATTTCAGCAAAACCCATGGATCACACAGGAGGAGTTTCCTTTCAAATTCCCTTTTAGTTCAGATCATTTAAGGGGAAAAAATACTGCAACCAAAAGTGTTTGATGATTCTTTAATATCATTCCAGTTGCACCTGATAGACAGTTTTTTATTACTTCTTTCCTGGATGAGACTTATAAAATATCAGCTGTTTACACTGTGAAGCAGGATTATACCGCGAGCCGTGCTTGATTAAAAGCATTTCTCTGTTTGTCTGCCCACGTATCCTAGAAGAAGAACAAAGCTCTCGAACAGGTTGAGCATCAACACCAAATCCCCGATGCAGCCCTTTGAGCTATCAAATGTGAACTGAAATAATCTATATTATTGTTTTTTTCATTTTATCAAAACCCCATGGGATGTGTGTCCATAATTCTGGTAGGAACCACTTGTATTTCATTATAACCTTAATTACTAATAGCTAACTGTTTGGATTTAGAGATAAATATGTCAGTTTGCTTCAACTTGGCTGCTTTTTGATAAATGCAAATCTCTAATTAATACTTTTTTTCTAATGGTTACAATTAAATGCAGCCTTTGTAAATCCATCAGACTTGCAGTGCCATGAAACAATGACACTTTCTTCCCATTTTAAAACCTTTCATGTATCTATTATAACCTTTATGTCTAGAAACTATGACTATGGAGACACAGGTAGCTCTATGGATCTTCCAAAGAGGATATTAATATTTTTGGTCATGATTGAACTGAGCAGACTACTAAAAGCAATGAAGGTTATAAAGTTACTTATTTTAAAGTTGTTTTTTTTTTTTTTTTGTTCCGTATCTCTGTATTAGCATCTCTGTAACAGAACACAGACCTATTGAAAGGAACCACTTTTCCCAAATCTTGAGTAATTCTCATTCTTCGATTGAAGAATATTAATTTAATGCCTTTTTTTTAAGGTTTGAAGTATTATTTTTATATTTTTTTTACTTAAAAACAATATTTTAAAATGCAAACCACAGCTTTTTATTTTAAAAATTAAAATAAATGATCTTATAATGAAAAAAAAAAAAATAGTTTCTTATGTTTTTTGGGGTGCTGAATACATCTGATTTAGCTGGACCAATGGCATAAATAGACAATTAAAGTAGATGAAACGTGTTTGGTTCAAACTTTATGCATTTGTTTGCATGGCCTAGTCAAAGTCCAGGCCTAAGTCCTATTATAATCAATGCTATACATTTAATCTGAATCATCATTTGCTAAGATGTATGAGCTTAAATTTCAGCCTCTAAATGTACATATTTCCATATACTTTAAAGTACCAATTCTGGCGCAAACCCCCTGAAAAAAAATAATTCCGGCATAGTACTATAAATTTGTGATGTCTAATGTGTGATGTGAAACCTTCATGACTTGAAACGGCATCGTGTCTCAGGCACACGAGTAATTATACTCAGCCATTACCCATCCGAGCCTTGACACTGGGCAGGCCTGTCATATTCCCTCATAAGAGGAAATTAGAGGGATTGCGATGAGAGGGGATGTTGCTAATTGGGACACGGTGCTGAGGCTGGCTTGTGTCATGGAGTTAAGAGGTATTTAGAAAGAGCAGCAGACCTGCTCACGCTACACTGATTCTAATTTATCTCCGGTTCCCTCTGCCCTCCCTTGCATTAGCTCAGACCTGCCATGTCATGCCTGCCATGTCATGCCCTCTTCCTCTCTATCTTCTGTCTAATCCATACCAGTCCCCTCTACAGATTCTACTTCCAGTTTTCTTTCCATCTTCGTTCACTCTTGTCGTTCTTTCATTCCTGCCTTTAGCTCCCAATGGTGGATCATTGTGTTATCCATTAGCCTCTGGTTTGACAGACTAATTGTCTTTGTCCACTGGGGTTTCAGTCAGGCTGACCCTCTGAGTCCTACATTTCCAAGAGAGAGCTGCAGAGTTTCAGATCTGATTGGGATTCTGTCATTTGACATTTACAGAACATACTGGTCAGCAGCGTAGCCGAAGCAAATGTATACTGTCCTTTTAACTGTTTAACCCAGAGTAAAGAAAAAACATCCACATGAACCTTTGTTGTTTATTGCCGTTCTGATTTTCTTTTCTGCCCCTCGCTGTGCAGCATGATGAAAGGGTGAACAAAACCAGGCAGAGATAACAAGCCGGCAAATCAAAAGCTGTTTTTATATTTTAAAAAAAAGGAAAAAAAGTGTGTCTGTGTAGAGGAACCAGAAGCTTTCATTCCGCAGGATCGGCACAAAGTTGCCCCCTCTGATCTTTTCTACGCTCCCGTATGAATATTTATGCTACCTTTTTTCGAGTCCTCCATCAACTTTTGCTTTCTTCTTGTTCTCAGGGGCGTTGCACGCGAGAGAACTGCAAATACCTCCACCCGCCCGCTCACCTGAAGACTCAGCTGGAGATCAACGGACGGAACAACCTGATCCAGCAGAAGACCGCCGCTGCCATGTTGGCTCAACAGATGCAGTTCATGATCCCCGGAACCACCATGCAGCCTGTGGTCAGTGCTGGTTCTCAGCGAAGCTCCCAACTTTGCTGTCGGGGGGAGAAATTAAGATAAACACGCGTATTATTGTTGCTTTTATTGCTCCTCTGCAAACCTCAGGAGCTTTTTCCGCCAGTCAGTGGCGGTCTCTACCAGGTGTGAATGTGTATCCAACTAAAACAGAACCTGCTTACTCAGCTAAACCTTTCCAGAAACAGAGGTTTTAAAAAAGGAAACTAATTTCTCACTTTCCACTCTTGCCGAATCCTCTTTATAAACATATTCCTCTCTTTTACCCCAGCTGTTTGTCTAGTTATCAGTTTCCTTACCCTCTCTCCCACCTATCTTCATCACCGCTCTTTATAGCTGCTCAAAAAGAATGAACTCTTTACTTTTTTAGATCACTTTATTAAATACCACTAAGAATAAGCTAAAAGACTAAAAATTGTTACAAAACTCTCTGGCATATGGAATAATTTGTAGCTTGATTTGATTGTATCCAGTGAAGCAGAGAGGTTTAAATATCATATTCCAGCTGTATTACTTGTGTCCTTTCTCCCCATGATGGAGTTTTCTCTATCTTCAACAGACGTTTCCAGTCAGTCAGGGCCTGGGATCCAGCGCCGGTTTAAGCTACACACCTTATCTGACCCCGATGTCCCACGGCATGGGCCTGGTTCCCACAGACATTCTGCCCAGCGCGCCCGTCATCGTCCCCGGCAGCCCGCCCGTCTCTGTGACGGCCGGTTCCTCCTCCAACCAGAAGCTTCTGCGTGCCGACAAGCTGGAGGTGACCTAACCAAAGTGCCGTAGCTCTTTTGAATAATATTTATGCTGCAAAAAAACAAGAGCGAATGCTCAGATTTCTGTTGATTAGGATTGGAAAGAATCAGTGTTAATTTTTTTTATGTTGCTTCCCTCCACTGTTCTTCAGCATAAGTCTCTTAAAACAACATGACTTCCTTTACAGCCGTGATGTGAAAATGAGTTATGATAAATCACTGTGATCCAAAGTGGAATTAACTCGAGACAAAGGGGTAGTCGCTAGACAGCCGCAGCCAAACTGAGCCGTTTCAAACAACTCTGAATGTCTCCATCTGCCCTCTTGGCAAACAACTCTCGAGAATAACTGTGGGATTGTGAAAGAATCCACGAGGAGGAAGGGGAGGGGTTGGATTTTTTTTTTTTTTCTGCACCATATTTATCAAGATAAACAGTAATCTACCTAAGACCTGAAGGTGATGCGTGGGCGTGTGCCTGTATGTGTTTTTCTGCAGGAGTGCCATCACTTAGCAACTGAATGAAGCTGGTTTTAATTAAGCTGTATCCCTCTGAGACACGTACACACTCCTACACACACACAAAAAAGAGCCAACATGCACGTTCACGTGCGTGCAACTTTTGCACAAACATGTAGGCGTGATTTGTTATGAACGTTCGTATATAATGTTCCAGCTTTGGAAAGGAAAAAAAAGATATTTCATATTTTTTTTCGCCTGACGCCTTGTTTGTTTCCCACCTTCTCCTCCAGGTCTGCCGCGAATTCCAACGGGGCAACTGCGCCCGCGGCGAGACGGACTGCCGCTTCGCTCACCCGAGCGACAGCCCCATGATCGACACCAGCGACAACACGGTCACCGTGTGCATGGACTACATCAAGAGCCGCTGCTCCCGCGAGAAGTGCAAGTACTTTCACCCCCCGGCCCACCTGCAGGCTAAAATTAAGGCCGCCCAGCACCAGGCCAACCAGACGGCTGTGGCTGCCCAAGCTGCGGCCACAGCTGCAGCCATGGTAAGATCACCACACCACCATCAGGGCTCCTTTTATAACTCTATCTGGATAATAACCCTCTATGTTTACAGCTTTTTGTGACAAACACTATCAAATGTTTATTTTCTGTTTATTCTGGGGACTTCTGGAAGTTTTTTACTATTTAATCTTCACTTAGAAAAACTTCAAACACCTCTCGCTTACAGCATCACGCAATGTGGAGCCCTGCTTTATTACTGCACTAAACGTCCTCTGTTGATTTATTCCAGCACACTCTAGAGCACAATTCACCAACAATAGTCATTCCAAAGAGAGGCGCTTGTATACAACAAACAGGGTTTAGTGAGACCTAAACAGATCAGCGTTGACGCCGCAAGAACAATCTGTTATTATTTCACTGCAGCCTTCTTTTATTTTCCAATGCCCTTGGTTCATCCAGAGACAATGCGTCGGCTCAACCCCCTCCAACCCTCTTTACTGCTCTCAGTGATAAGTGCAGTTCTCTGCAGATCACTTGCAAATTGAATCAGGGATGGATGTAGCATGACGGGGTGGGAGTTTCACCCTCCTTTAGGTTGAGTCATCCCCACCGACGGGGGGAAAAGGTAGACAAGGATGTTAAAAAATATTTTAAAAAAACAACTCTGCATACAGTTCTGGCTGTTTCCCCAGAGGCATGGAGTGGCTTCCTCTGATTGGTCCTTTGGCTACTGCACTTGCACACCTTGCACTGCCCCAGTGTGCTGACTGACTCCCTTTTCTTTTCCTCCATGGCATGGGCATGCTTTACAACCTTTGCACATACTGTACCTCTCACTGGCTGGCTCCATTGCTGCTTGCTGTCCCTCTCTTTCCTTTATGAACCCACGGTGTGGATGATGAGGCAGGTTGGCTGGATTTGTTCCCACGCAGTGTTATACAGCCTTGCAAAAGTTTTCAGACCCCTTAAACGTTTTCCTATTATGTTACATCAGTTTGTCTCGTTTTATGTGGTTAGCCAACGCTAACTAGAGCACAGTTTTGTCGTGCATTTGTATTTCATTTCATTTTCTATTATCTAACTTGATCAAATCTGAGGAAACCAGTTCCCTTAGTCCATCTGTGTGCTATTTAATCCCAGTTTAAACCAAGCTGTTAGGGCTTTAAGGTTTGTTGGAGAAGATAAATAAACAAACGGCATTATAAAGACCAAACAACACAACAGACAAGTCAGGGATGAAGTTGAGATGTTTAAAGTAGGGTTAAGTTATAGTATAGTATACAGTCTCCTCAGCGAAGCATGTTAGTGGCAGCATTGTGCTGTGGGGATACTGTAGGCTGGAATTAATAGACCGACGATTTCAGAGCTTTTGAATTGGTTTGAGTCACGAGTTAGAATGGTCTAGTCAAAGTCCTGGTTATGTATTCCAGTTCCAGAGTAGAGCAGGGAGGCTGAATAAAAAATTAATTGCTCAGTTATTAGTGTGAAAGTAAAGGGTTAAAACTGCGAATCAATTTTCCTTCCGCTTCTCAGCAATAAAATACACTGAAAGTTTTTTTGTTTTTTTTTGAAACAGCTCTGAATACTTTTTAAAGACTCTGCGATTCTCCAAAATAAACACACCGATTCTTTTAGTATCATAATTTAGTCTTGTGTGGCTTGTGTTTCGGCTGCTTCATCGTTATAGCATGCAACCCTCATACAGTTTATCGTCTTTATTACCCGATTCCCAAGCTCCCTTTAGAGTTTCCAGTCTGTGCTAAAGGTGAAGAGGGTTAAGCTAAGGACAACAAGTTGTTTAGTCAGCACCTTTAATCCAATTGTCTTTGAGCTTGCAGCCTAAGCTGCAGCACTTTTATTGAAGCAGATCCATAAAAAAAAAAATCTGTGCAGATGCGGCACTAAAAATAGGATAAAAAAAATCCCACAGCGATCAGTAGATAAGATTACATCGTCCGACGCGGATGCAGTAAGTTGTTTAACCAGTGCCACGCTGTGTTGTTTTTGCCATGCTGTGATCTTCTACCTCATTACAAGTCAAATGCAGCCATCTTTGCCTGTCATCTCACTTTAATAGAGCCATCTTTCATTTGAACTAACCAGTGTTTTGAGGCCTGTTAACACTGCAGCCCATCAGCAATGCATTGTTGCTAATAGCAGGATACCTATGCAAGCGCAGAATGAGAAAATCCACATACATCAAGCAAGAGGCTTGTGCATGGACCATCGTATTCATGTCTTATTTTTTATTTATTTTTTTCCTGCCCCGGCATTCGCTTGGATTAGGAAAATAAAAATCTTTTAGTTAGCATAGTGCAAGTTAGATTTTTGGACTTTTTTTTTTTCTTTTTTAACGTAAGATTTGGAATAAACAGAGCTCCACATTCTGTTGTGAAACTCCAACTTGTGCTCCTTACGGTTTACTTTAACCGTTCGCCAGACAGCACTACAGAGATGGGTTTGATGCTTATTTCAAATATCCCCACTTAGAAACCTTTTTTTTTGTGTGTGTGTTTCGGCTGCTAGTTATTCTGAAGGTTTTCTTTTAACCTGAAACACTCAGACACTTTTCTATCAGTTAGTTCATAAAGGTCACATATTCACTGATTGTAATCAGCTTTGTTAATCCGATGTATTTCCAGTTCCAGAATAGCTCTCCAAAATTATCTGATACTTCTTGGACAATTGCTTTTTAACCAAAGGTTAATATAGCAGCTTTTTTTTTTGCTTTTGTACTAATTATAATAGTAGCTATGTTTCTTTAAAGTTAAACAAAACAAACCTTTTTTTGTTTATGTGCATGCCTATTGTTTTGTATGTGGTATACTGGCATTCAGATTATTTTTGTTTTTGTTTTTTTTCCTTCTCACCTATCCACAATGCAATGCTGTCCCCCATGATGCACCTCTGCTTGCTGTTACCTGTATGTTAATACGCTTGAATCCCATTGGCCCACTGCCATCATGTGCTCGCTGCCTGCTAATTAAAGACTCAGTCGACTGCCAAAGCAATGAAGCGACCCCTCGAGGCAACTGTAGACCTGGTACTTGGACCTTTCACCTTTTGCTTTGCATGTAGCTTCTTTAATTGTACTTGTAGCCACTCGCAGAATTTAATTTGGCTCTTCTGTTGTTGTGAAACCCTGTAAAAGACACTTTTACTGTGTAGACGTTAATCATTTATGATCACCTGTGGATTTTCTAGATTGTGTTTTGCAGTAATGAACGTAAAGCTAAAATAATTCCAGCTACCCTGCTACTTTCTTTAATGTGTTTCCATTTCTTGCTTTTTTTACTTGCATAGAGAGAAAAGAATTAACACTTTACAATAACACTGCTGTTGATTTGAGTGAGGCTGAAGTCTCAAAGTCTGTGCTTCTGTTTGTGTGTGGCAAGGCGTTCCCCCACGGTGTCCTCCAGCCCCTACCAAAGAGACCAGCACTTGAGAAGAGCAACGGAGCGAGCTCTCTGTTCAACCCCAGTGTTTTGCACTACCAGCAGGCGCTGGCCAACGCGCAGCTCCAGCAGCCTGCTTTCTTTCCCACAGGTAAGATCTTTCACTTCATGCATATGGGACACAGCTGCAGACAGATGCACGGTTAGGAATGCGTAGATCTTAGCAACGATGGCTGCAATGGAAGTCTGTTTGCTGCTGTTAAGGGGAACTCTGGTTTATCTCCTGTAAGGAAATGCCTTAGACCAGAGAATCCCCCCAAAAAGTTTGCATTTTTACTGCTTAAATTTTTCTAGTTTTCTCAAATATTTTAATATTTTAAAAATATGCTAATTTCACCCCCACACAGACACCATAGACAATAAAGACAAGCAGAAACAGGCTTTAGATTGATCTCAGACTTAATACCGTCCCTCTCAGAATTTTTTTTTTGTTACAACCACAAACCTGTAGAAGTTGTATCCGGATTTTATGTGCCAGACCAACACAAACTGGTGATTGATTGTATAATAGAAGAAGAATAAAACACTGTTTACCAAAAAAGGATTCTGCTTTAAATTATATACACAGCTTACCACCTCCAGAAGGTTGGCTTAATAAAAAACAGGGAAAATCTGTGTAATTATTTATGATCGGAGATGGGAACATCTTTGCACAAATCAGAGCAAAGATGTTAAAGAAGGTGCTCTGGTGTGATGTGACCAGAATTCGATTCTTTACCCGATAAAATTCCAAATGTGTTTCAATTCAACCTTGATGATCTTTCTGTTAGTAGCAGCATATCGTTAAGGCGATGCAGGGACAGCATCAGGATCCCACTTTACTAGAAGATAGAAGCTAAATGCAGGAAAAAAATCAAAGACATGCATGGAGGTTAACCTCCCAGTGTGCAGACAGGGCTGAAATAGTTTAGATCCATTTGATAGAATGTCCTAGTCAAAGCCCAAATCTCTCCCTTTAAAGAAATTCTACCTTCCGATAATCCTCATCATCCAATCCGACTGTAGCTTTAGCCGCTTGGCAAAAACAATGTCTTTTTTTTATTAATAATGAGACATTTTGAAAGGAAGTTTTACTCTCAGACCCATTTAGAGTTATTACAAAGCTGTTTTTTATTCATTTCATAAATTCCTGATAAAAATATGTTGGATTTTCAAACTAAAGCAGAACTTCTCTAAAGGGTTTGAATACTTTTGGAAAGCAGTATGGCTGAGCTTACTCCAGCTGTAGCAGCCACATTGAATCATCTTTTTTTTTATTATTATTATTTTAATAACAAATCTTTAAGCTTTATGAAGGGTTTAAAAAAAGTCTATGGCTAAGTGAAGAAAGTGTAGAAAAGTTTTCCACTTATCTCAATTAATCTTAAACAATATAGAAAACTAAACCCACAAGAGATTTTTATCTTGATTTTTTCCCATCACCTCTTCGATTTGTGTTTCTTCCCCTTATTTAAAACAAAATGTACATCTCTATATTTCATTGAAATAATATCCTCCCCTCAGTTTTTATAAAGCAGTTCTGCAAATTCATTTTCCAGCAGAAATATAAAGTTGAACTTAAAGTCAGACTTGTTAAAGTCAGAGACTGGATGTTTGCCTTAGCTGCAGCTCCTCCCACTAATGCAGATCTCTGGAAATAGAATGCCTCCGCTTGCTTTTTTTTTTGGCTTTCATTATTAGTTGGCATCACCGCGGTAACTGTGGCATCTGAGCTGACTGATGCTTTTTGTTTTTGTCTTGTCTAACTTTGTTGTTCTCCTCCTCCTCAATTAACCCATCTCTTCCCTCCTCTCTCTCTCTCTCTCCCTCCCCTCTGTGTCTCACTCCTTCTATCTGTCCTATTCTGTTTAAACACAACAGGGTCAGTGTTGTGCATGACCCCTGCTAGCAGTCTTGGTAGGTCCTGATTTTGCTCTCTCTCTTTCTCTCTTTCTCTCTCTCTCTAACACACACAAACACACAAGCTTAAGGCTGATGTAGAGGGAAATGGTGTCTGCAGCTCTTACAGGTCAGACAAAATATCCTCACTACCCTGTGCCACCCCTTAAGGTGGTGCTAACACGGTTACAGATATATTTTTTCTCATCAAACTTTTAATTTCCTTGCCCTCAAACGTTTTATTTGCACTGTGCATCACCTAAAGGAGTCGCAGCTTAAAGCTCTTATTTCCCTACTGACCGACTCTGTTGCTAATGACTGTTTTGTTTATGATTAAAGTGCTGATCAAATGTGTTTCCTAAGCTCTAATATAGCCTCTGCTGTGCTGTGTTAACCAGGAAATTTAAATCAGTTTCCCAGAGAAGTTATACACATAACCTGAACCCTAATGAGATGATTGTTAAAACCAAAGTTATGGCGCCTTGCAGAAGTATTCACGCCTCTAGAACTTAAACCACAATTTTGTCACGTTGCAGCTACAAAGAAAAACCTCAAGGTTTTGCCATTTGGAAGCAGAAAGGAAAAATAAATAGTTTTATCAAACTTGTTTTGAAAGAAAGAAATGAAGATGTGGCTTTGATCAACCTTTTCTGGAGTTTTTTGGGGATTTATTTATGAGATTTGCACATTTGGTCACTAAATATGTGCAGATTCTTCGTGATCTTAGCCAAATTGTATCTAACTGGTTGTTTCCAGGATAGCTATGCATCTATCCCCTAACTGGCCTTTTCCTGGGTTATTTATTTGACTTTTGGAATCCTGAAAGTGTGATATCTTATTTTATTATGACACTTTTCCACAAAGCTCAGATATTACTCATCAAAAATATGAAATTCTCCTCCTTGTTGCTGCAATGTAACAAATGGGAAAAGGTTTAAGAGATCTGGATATTATTTGCTAGGCACCAGCTATAAATAACTACTTTTACCATGTTTTAACAAGTTCCCTAGAATTGCATGTGCTCTGGCATTGGCTGTGAGGCGTCATCCTGCTGCTCAGTGGGTCGGTCCAACTCTTTTTAAAAGGAGCATCACAACACGCGTCTCGTATCAACTTCTCTGGGAAAGACCTAAAACTGATTTGCCGTATAAATTTCCTAAACCTGTGATTGTAATCAGCTTCTCTCCTCTTGTTTTATTTTTTTTCCTCCCATGCTGTCCTTTTCTTCCTCTCTTTCTATCTGTCCTCCTCGCTTTGCATTGTGAATGGTTGCATGCCATCTGCCGGCGTTACCCTAACGATGGCTCGCTGGCTCTCTCCCTCTCTCACCACATCCACCAACATCGACAAAACGCTGCCGTCGACACACGCTCCACGACTGTTACCATGGTTGCCATAACGCTCCACCTACCTGTTCATTGCTCCCCCCTCCCTCCTCCCCCTTTCCTTCCTTCTCCTCAAAAAAAAAAAACAAAGTCCCAATGATGTACAGTGCTACGCCTGCTACTGTCTCTGCAGCAACAACTCCTGCCACAAGTGTCCCCTACGCAGCAACAGCACCAGCCAATCAGGTTTGCTCCTTTTAAAGCTTTCTTTCATCAGTCCCTGGAGCTCTGAATAAGTACTGCCTCCTAATAGTTGTGCTGAAACAACCTGCAGCTTAACCATACTCCAATCATCCATGTGGCTGCACACAGCTAGTGTCTGTTTTCCACCCAATTTGAAGCGAAACCAGTGTCTCGTATTCCCATTAAAATCCGCAAGGCACTTCTTCAGAGCTCCTACATTTGCGAGTAGTACTTGTGTTATGTTGCACCACTTCCTGTTATTTTTGTTTTGTTTTGCATGTTCTTGTCATTTGTTTTCTACTCTTCTTGTCTTAAAAATAATAAAGCCTCTCCATCTGCAGCAGGGGACATCATCTGCACCGCAAACACGCATCCGAGCAGAAGGCTTGCATTTAATCTACAGTTGAAAACCAGATATTTTCAGAACAAAACAGTTTATTTTTGCATCAAATTAAAGCATTTTCAGTTTTAGTTTGCTTAGTTTTGCTAAACGTGTGCTGAATGCTAAAGTAAAGGAGGTTTATTTATTTTATGCACATTTATTCTCTCATTATTATACTGAGGCACTGATCAGAGCTTTTCCATAACTTTATTATCTGTTTACAATTCTGCTCCATTTGTCGTCTATTTAGTGAAGTGCACCAGTCTCTTCTGCAGCAAAACCTATGATGCTGCACTGCAAAAACAATCCAGAAATAAGTAGAAACGTCTTAAATTAAGTGTAATTACCTTTAATTTGAGTTGGTAAATAAGATGATCTGCCAATGGAATGAGCATTTTTACTCTTAAAATAAGATAATTAGATAATATGCACTTGAAATAAGACAATGCATTTGTTTTTGTTTTTCTTATTTTAAATGTAAATTGTCTTGTTTCACTAGCAAAGTGTGTCACTTACCTCCTCAATTCAAGAACAAATGCACTTAATTTAAGAAAAATTGACTTATCTAGATTGGGAAATTTTCCAGGGTGCTACTGTTGTGCTGCACAGTTGGATTATAGTTCTTACATTTGAAAGCTTCCCCAATGTTGCACTATTAATTTTTGCAAACAGATTTTATTTTGGTTCCTTGAGATGTTTACAAACATTAAACTGTAATTTGATGTCAAACAGTGAGAGAAAAATCACTGTTTGTCAATATTTGGTTTGAGTCGTATACCCGTTTCCTCGTCTTTTGCTTTTTTTCATCGATGTGGAATTAAAAGTAAGGGATAAATCAAATGGGAAAAATAGTTCCAGGATACGTTTGTTAGGGTCAGACAGGAAAAGCAATCAGAGCTGTCTATAAACGGCCTCCCAATGATTCTCCTGTTGCCGAGCGTCGGAAGGAGGGACAGGTTCGACTGCCAGGCTGAAACACGTGTGGCCCATTTTTAACCTGGAAATTTCAGGACGGCGGCGGCGCTCTGGCCTCTCTCTTTCTCTCTCTTGCAGCTGGCAGTCATTTACTGCTGGATCTGTGCAGAGGTGCTCTGAGGACACGCAGAAAACGTGCTCCACATGTTAATGCGAACCTCTCTTTTTTTTTTTTTTTAGTTTTTTCCCCCCTTGACATTCAGAAAACGTTCCCCGTCTTATACCAATATATGACGACGATCTTTTAACGATCTTTCAAAAGATGCAGGTATCCGGTGTGATGAGAACAGATTAGACTAACCTTTTGGGTCAAAAACAAACCAAAACAGAAATTATTCATCCCATCTCCATCCCCGTTAATCACAATCCGATGTCGTATTGCCCCTCACAGACCAGCAGAGCGCCACTTCCTGTGAGTCACCGTCTCTTCCTGTAATTGGCATGCAGCAGCAGTAGCAGCAGGAAGCAGAGCCACTCTTAAAAGATGCATGTGGGACAAGGAGCTGGAGAAAAGGGTGACGTCAGCCTTCGCTGTCTGCCTCCCTTATTTATTTTTCTTCCTCCTCCTCTCCCACCCAGCAGTACGGAGGCACATCATCACCATCATCCTCATTATCAGCTGTGCTGCATACAGTCCACGCCTTGTTTTACTCCTCTTGTCCCAGTCATGAGGTTTTATCAAATACAGAGGGTTTTTCTTTCTTAATGACAGCACATGTTGCATTGGTCAGTGTTTTCACTTGCTTGCATCTGATTTAAATCAGTTTTTAAAATCTTGGCAGTTTCTTATTCAGGCCTTTAAATATAAGCAAGACAAAAAAAGATTATTTTTAAAAAAATGCACTTGAAGAGGGATATAACTAATGCATACCCCTAAGATTGTGGCAGACAGAGCGAAAGGTTCAGCGTCTGGTCAACTCACGACCCCCAAAACCATCAAAGTGACTCGACATGAAGGAGCCAATCACATCACTCCATGTCTGAGGCATAATATTAACCATGTGCTGCCTTTGCCTTGTCCCTGGTAACATCCCTTCTGCTGCAGGAGTCTTTCAGCACTGCAGCCCCCTCTAGTGGCAGACTAGATTTACTTTGATGCATAGATTCAGCAACATATCCGGATGGTTTTATGATTCTTAACTAAATCATCTTCTGTGTGGAACCTCCTTTTTGCGGCCGGTATCGCTGCTCTGAATTCCTGCCCCATTTTACGTGAATTCTCCTTCGGCCTGGGCTGCAGAGGGCTACCATCACACTGGGTGTTGTTTTTTGTGTTCTGTGTGAAGGGATCAGCGGCTTCTGTCCTGCTGGCTGTATGCTAACTGTTAACTGGAACCATGCAGGGCTTTGTTCTGCATTGGCTCTCTGCCTGGGGCAACCAACAGGGTGGCAGCCTGCAGCTCCTCCACCTCTACCAGTTTCTGTCACCTGATTATTGTCCATCTTTCTATTTTTGTTCTTGTTGCATATGGGTTTTTATCTCTTAAATCGAGTTTAAATGAAGGGTGACCAGGAAATTAAATATATATGTCGATCTAAGATATAGTGGTCCCAGAGATTTTTCATATTTAACCATACCCTTTACAAAAGAATATATATTTTTACTTTTTTCTTTATTGAAACAAACTACAATCTGAAAAGTGTGGCACATTTTACTCTCATAGCCCAGATTAAAGAGAACAAAGTTCACCGGTCAGCCTGGAGGAAACAATTATTAGTTAAAATTATTAGTGATGAATCTATTATTGAAATATTCATCAACTAATTTAGTAATCAATTAAACGTTAATTGGAGTGTAGAGACTCTAAAACATGCCTTTAGCTGACAGAGCGACCCACTTAGAGGAGTCATTATATCAAAATTGTAAAAAAGTATATGAGCATTTTGCATTTAAGATGAAACAAATAATTTTCGTCTGTCAATACTCTCTATCCAAAACTCCTTAAGTGAAAAGGTTTTAGTTTCACCTAGTTTGATTTTGTAAAAAAAAAAAAAAAATTCTTGAAGGAACCTTTTGATATTATTATGCGATTAATCTCAAAAAATGATCGACATATTCATCCATTTACAAAATAATCGTTAGTTGCAGCCCTACTGGAGGAGCAGTAGAGACTCCTGCAGTGGGACATGGTGGTGGCAGCACCATGCTGTGGGAATGCTTTGCTTTAGCAGGGGTAGGAAAGCATGTAAGTAGTAAAAGTTGAGAATGAAATGAGGATAACTCTTAAAGCAGCATAGTTACTTTATAAGCATATATGAAAAAAGAACAAAATCCATTTCATTATAAGATAGGTTTATGTGCAGGAAGCGTTCATCCTGATGGGGTTAATAGAATTCCAGCACTCTGGGAGATGAGTCGACATAAACAGAGCTAACAGAGCCCAGCTGTCCTGCAATGCTTTGCTTTAAAGCGATAATAATTAAATAAACCGATCTACAACAACTCTAGATCTAGTAAATTTTCCCCTGAACCTCCTATCAGAACATTTAGGGAAAAAAAGAAATGTTCCTCCTACCAAATACAAAACAGCGAGGCGTCATCAAAGTGAGAAATATTTTATTGAACTACATTTAATTTAAAAAACTCATTGGATAAAGCATTTTTATTGAAAACTTGAAAACATTTAATTGATTTTAATCAATCGACAAAATCTATCAATAATTTAATTTGTGCTCAAGACAGTAGAGACTAAGAATAACATTATCATCACTACTATCAGTATTATTTAGAGGTGGGTAGAGTATCCAAAAATTGTACTCAAGTAGGAGTAGCACTACTTTTAGATTTTTTTTACTCAAGTAAAAGTAAAAAGTAGTCATCCCATAAATTACTCAAGTAAAAGTAAAAAGTAGTCATCCCATAAATTACTCAAGTAAAAGTAAAAATCTATTCGTTAAAAACCCTACTAGAGTACCGAGTAACTGTTGAATAATAACATCAAATTTAATGTCTATAAATGATGCTGGCAGATAGACCTTATGTGCAATAAATATGAAGAAACAAGAACAAATTCATGCAGCAGAAATACTCATACCAATTTCTTTTCAATATAAATTTAGAAAATCAATCCGACAATTTAATATATGTTAGTAACAAACTTCCACTGTTAATAGCTACTGATTTTGGAATAGTTCAAATTACGCAAAGACGACAGAGAAATCAGAGATTTTACTCAAGGAGTAGCGATACTTTACAAGAGCATTACTCAAGTAAAAGTTAGTAGCACAGTACAGAAAACCTACTCCTAAAAGTACTTTTTTTTCCAATTGTGACTCAAATTTAACTGACTAAATGTAACTAATTACTACCCACCTCTGGTATTTATACGGATATTTACTCAAGCAACTGTAGACTTTGCAACGCCTCAGTGAACACCATGTTCATACTGTATTAGCCGTCCAATTCATTCTTCCTGCTAAAATAACACTGGATCTTGACTAATCTTCACTACTTGTTTTTTTTTTTTTTTGTGGTTAAAGTCGCTGACTTGCTAAAGCCCCACTCCTTCCTTGCTTAAGCATTGCCCACATGCGCATGTATTCCGGTCATGCGTTGTTGTTATTGTTAATAACACAACACTGAAGGGGCTTTATTTACCAAAAAACTGAACGAAAGAAAAGCCTAAAACAAAAAAGAACATGCCAACATGACATGGACGCTGTAATATTTCAGAAAGAAACGTATTAGCTTAGTCATATAACACCACTATGGAAAGAAAACCTGTCTGAGGCTGCAGAGAAGTTGAGGTTCAGGACAACATTAGCAAACAGCCAGAGCTGCAGTGGATCCGTTTAGATCATCACAATCAGAGGCAAGACAAAAGAATTCTTGATTATCGTTGATGGCGTTCTTACCAATCTACTTTGTGTATTTCTATCTGATGAAAAGTCATTGATAGACATTGTCTGTGGTTGTACCTGAATGTGTAAAGGAGCTATGGATAAGAACACTAGACGGTTGCTATCCGCATAGGTTTTGATCAGGTGCAATAGTCCAAACTGTTTTAGACTTTACTTCCCCTCAGATATGAGCTTATTGTGGCGAATCTTTTGCATGCCGACTAAAATAATCTCCCCCTTCTCTTGTTTTTGTCTCTCTGGCTTGCAGATCATCCTGAAGTGAGCGTCGGGAGCGAGATGGAACGTCACGAAGCCGCACTAGGAAGCCCAAAACAGCCCCTCTGTAAATACTACCTTGCCTCTCCCCCAGAGGTCCAGCAACCTGCATGCTAAGAGTGTAAACACTTCAATTTAACCACGAGGACTGCAGTGCCGGTGTAACTCACACACAGTAAACAAAAGATATATACATATATTATATATAAAAAATAGTGTATGTATTGTTAGAAAACGGAATACGCACATGAAAAGTCACAATTATTCTTATGTATAGTGCATACATAGATACACTATAGCCACAGTGGGATCTCTACTCTTGTTTTAGAAAACCCTTTAGTAGGTTGAAGAAGGAGAATGGAGGAGCACCTACACAGCCACACCCTTTTTGTTTAGCTTTTTTATTTCAGAAGAGATCTTTTCTCCCTCTTGCTGTTTATTAATTATCACAGCCCCCCCCAGAAGCTGAAGCTCTTGCAGACATTTTATCCCTGGAAACATCTTGCCAAAGCTGCGGCTTGGATAAGGATGCCATAGAGCACACACCCTCCAAATTCCATCTTGTTTTCTCTCCCCCCTCCCTCCCCGTTGCTGCAAAGTCAACCTGCTCGCCCTTTATTTGCTGTGAGGCCAATCCAGCTTGTTTGCATGCAGTCAAGACCGGAGAATCTAAAGGCTCGAGCCTGTGCCAAGGGCTTGACGAAGCTGGAGGGTGAACTTCAGACATGCCAAGCCTTCTGTGTACGTGCGACTGTGTGCGTTGTGTGTGTCATATCAGGAAACTGATGGTCTGCCGGCAGACTGCGACTTTAAGCGAGGACTTGCAAAAGATGGTAACTCCAAACCTGGTGGAAGAGTTTCTTCTTCTTCTTTTTTTTTTTTATGAAGTTTTAGGACCGGGGGACATGTGAGGGACTTAAGTGCTAAATCTAAATGAAAACAACACAAAAAAAAAAAAGTTTGTAAAAAAAAAAAAAAAATTACAAATTAAAAAGAAAACGGTGCATTTGACAACATTCGTCAAGCAAAAAGATGACTTGAACTTGAACTGGAGGGCTATCTGTGACCGTCGGTTGTCCTGTCCAACCCTACTATCACCGATAATCCTGTTTCCATTTTAGAAAACTGTAGAAGTGCCTAAAAAAAGAAAATAAAAACAAAAAAAAAAGAATTTCAAAAAAAAGCTCATCGACGACACACTAAACACCCAGGGCTGGATCACTAAGAGTCACAAAAACCACCGGCTGATAAAACCGTAGGGACTCTTTTGGGGGGTTTTTTCGGGGAAAGACATTACACTATGTGTTGCTAGGAAACACCTGCCTAGCAACCGCTCATTTTACATCACAAGTGACTTTACTGAAGGAAGAGAGCTTGGAGGATCGACAAATCAAAACTAGCTTTGTAGAATGTCTGGTGACGTTTCAACGGTGTATCCGTCGTTTCTTACATGGGTTTCAGTAGTTTACATGAGGAACGTGAGTGAGAACACATCGTATTGTAAACTGTGTAATGTATGTAAAGTGTCTGTCATTTTGAAAGTTTCTATTCTAGAAAATGTATTCCGACTTATTTAAAGAAGTTGTGTTGTGTCTACTATCAAGGTGTGTTTGAACCTTCGCCTCCCGTAATGAACGTTCACATATATCTTTTTTTTTTTATGGCCAAGATCAGAAAAAAAAACTAAATTATTTTGGTTTTACTTTTTAGGTTTTTATTTTTCTCCATTTGATCAAAAGTTCTGGCACGATCTGATGGTGCTTTGATCAACACTGACAATCCACAATCAAAACAGTTTGTTTTCACGCACATTGTGACCTGTTTGTACCCTGTAGCCGCAATAAGCTAATAACGGCAGATAGCTGGCTTTGATCATTTTAAATGGAATAAGCCCAATAACGTAATAGGTCGGCAAAACTCCTATGAAGCTTTTGAGCCAATAACATATTCTTCTTTTGTATTCAATTAAAAGTGTTCCTCCTGCATTCTATCACGTTTCACAAAGTGATCTAACTACCAACTACGCTTCAAATAATTTAAATTGTCATGGGTGCATGAAAGCATGAATCTATGCATGAATTTCTTATTAAATATACGTTGCAAACTATAAATATTTTAACATTGGCTCTTAGAATCAGCTGATCTTAAATTAACAAACATGACCCTTATGTAATCCACTACATATTTTCCTAAACAGCACAAACGCAGTAAATTTTTAAGAATTACAGTTTTATTTATGTGTTACTAAATGTATGTGTTACTAAATTCAGCCATATATATATAAATAATATATATGTATATATATTTATATTTTCAGTTTAAGGATGCCCCCTAAATTAATTATCTCATTTTAGTGATAGTATATTAAAGGTTTCGTGTGGAGAAGAATATTTTGAATTATATCTGGGTTATCTAGACCATTTTGTGATGCAATAATTAACTTTATTTTCATGCAATAACCCACCAAAATACAACCCTGACTCAATTTAGACCCATATGTTAGCTCTGCTGCCCCCTAGTGGTTAAAAAATGACATTTTATGAAGAAAAAAACATTTATTTATGTTTGTATGGAAAATTTATTTGTTTTCTCCTTTAACAGATGCTAAATTGAGGAAACTGTTTATTTAAATTGATATGATTAGTCAATGGTCTCACTCTGTGATGCCTGAATAAAGTATATAAAATAAAGAGGTTTGTGTAGGATTATACATTAGTAACTTTTAAACTGAAACTTCTAAACCATTTTATGAAAATCTTGTCCCACCAGCGTTAAAGTAGGCAAAAATAGTAACTATTTAAATATAAATGAAGGGAAAAAAAGGGTCAATATATGTTAGTGCTACTCCAATAGTTATGTTAATGGTTCAAAATCCTCATTAAATTATGTGTTCTTTAGTCATTATGACATTTAAAATTGGCAGAATTATTATGCTTTTGTAAGGTATTACGTTATCGGTCAGTATTAGCTTATTAGCTGCTACGTACCCTTTTTTTTTAAGGCAGTAAAATGACCTGTTTTGTTGTAACTTATCTTAAGTAACGTGAGATTTTACTCAAAAACGATGTTGTAAACTATTCTGTTTTGAGATGAATGTAATTTATTGAGCTGTGCAACGTTTCTGCACGGGTCGGTCGTTTTTTTTTTTTTTCTTCAAAGATCGAGCCCTCCGTCGAGTCGGCAGACAAGAAGTCACACGGCAGCAGGAGGGGGGGGTGGCGTGAGCCCGAGAATGCCCGCGCCTAAAACGGAACTGGAAACACCCCTGGATCTTTCTCGCCTTCTCAACGAGGATGAAAATGAAAATTTTGATGTCAGGAGCGTTAAACATATTACTAGAGTTGCTTGTGATATCGGAGGAATAAAATAAAAAAAAAAAAAGATTATTGTATAGATGACATTTTATCGAGAGGATTAAAAAAAAAGTGAAAAAAATTTAAAGAAAATTTTGAAAAAGATGTACTTTTCACTCTAGTATGATAGTATTTCATAACAATATTAAGTTGTTGCGGTGGCAACCAAATGTTGCAGTTACTAAAGTTTGGTATTTTTGTAAATGACATTGTTAAGTTGATTTTTTTGTTCATTTGTTCTGTTTGTTTCTTTTTTTGCTAGAACACTGTACACAAAGTAGATTGTAAAGCAATGAACATTTCTTATTCTTCGATGAGAATATGAGAGTGACCTGATATTTTCATTAGCAAATAACAGCCTCTATACCGACTGTAACACTTCTAGATTTAAAATCATCAATGTTATATAGATTACATATGAATATATATATATATATATGTAAGAACTAAATAATCTATAAATTAAGTTCAGATGAAAACTCCCCTTACAAAGGACCTTTAAGTACCACACAGACTTTTATTTAAATTGTATTTATCCATAGATTTTAGGATTGCACTTTTTTTTCCCACTTCCTTTAGACTTTAAAAGCATCGGTAATTAATTCGACATATTGTTGCATGAAAAAAACTTTTCTTTACTTGCTAAATGATAACGTACTGAATGTTTTTAAAGAGGAAAATGAAAAAAAATGTCCAAACAACCTTCAGCAACCATGTGTGTTGGATCCTTTTCAGATGTTTTGTTGAAATGCGTTGGTCGTTATCGATAAGATGGTTTAAATGAGAAAGAGAGGGGTGGAAAAAACAAAACAAATGTAAGCACTTTCTGAGCAGTTGGTCAACTGAGCAGACTCAGCTTATTCAAACACTTTGCCTTATCTTGAGTCCATCGTGCTTGAGGTTTTATGTTTTTAAGAGCTCTTATGAATAGATAAAAAGATGACTTGAACGGTCTCAATTCTCAAATCCCCTCGGAGTTTCATTTCAAATGTAATTCTTTATATCTGAGGTGTTTTTTTCTTTTTCTTATTTCTTTTTTTTTTTTTTTCTTAAAGGTTTTAATGTGTGCATCAGAAAGCCAACAGGGAGGACTGCAAACCAAACTTATCTCCTGGATCTGTAGTAGCCTCGTATGGTCCCATTGCCTTACAATGGAACAGTTTGAGTGTGTAATTCACAGCTTTTGACAGCAGAGGGCACTACAGCTCAGACTGCAGGTTATATTCTCTTTTACAAAGTTAAAATGACAATAAGACCCTCATTGGAATCATAGTTTTAATGTAATCCTTTTAAATGTATTCTTTTGCATATATTTTGTGCTATTTTATGTTTATATAGTCGGTTGTTTCTTTGGTTCAAGCGAGATAGTGTAAAATCTATTGAGAGGAAGAAATAAAGAAAATAAAATAACTTTTGTGTTTGGTCTTATTTCATGACTAGAGTTTGGTGTTTAAACTAGAATCATGTGAAACCAGCAGAGCTGGAACATCCTTTCCCTGGAACGTCCTTGCTCTGGTGTTTTCCCTAAAGGCCTGCTTAAAACCCCACAGCTGGACCCAAATCCCTACAGCCGTAAAAATAAACAATTCTCCAGCATTGAGCTGACTCAGACCTGCATGGTTATGGGAATATCCCAGAGTTCAGCTGTTGCTTTTATGAAAAAAAAAAAAAATGTAGAGGCCACAGTTAATGCATAAGTATATTTTTTCTATCATTTGTATTTTAGGGTCATTTCCTGTCCCTGCAGTTAAGCAAAAAAAGGAATATGGATTACTAATGTCCTCATATAAATGAGATTGTATAATTCAGTTAATTGCAAATATATTAGAAGTAAACCTATATTTATGAGAAATAATCATTGTAACAACACCACAAGACTGAAGCACTACAACTAATTATTAACGTTCTGTTAAATATCATTAAAAATAATAATTTCTGCTGAGGAATAAATTACACCACATTTATTCCAACTTAAAATAAAATATTAAAATATTAGACTAAAATGGCTGAGACATGACAACACGCCCAGGTTTGTACAACCAGGTTCACTCCCAGATCAAAATAAAAAATAAAATGTCATTATGGGAACTACAACGGGTTAAAATACATGCCTGTAGAATCAGATTAGCCATAAATTGAATACAGTAGTGACCCCATAATAGAGGAAATATTTGTTTTTTTGGGGGGGAAGAATATACCACCTGAGAAGCATGGAGGTGGAAGCGTCATTGTTTGGGGATGCTTTGCTGCAACAGGATCAATTCAGCTCAACATCATAGAATCCATTTTGCTGCTTTCTTAGAAATAAACTACAAATATTCAGCAGAGTTACAAGAAATGTTTTGTGGAGAAGAAGTGAATTTGCTGCTGAGGCTTGAGAATTAAGCATGAACTAACAGGGAACTCATGTCATTCAAGACCTGCACACAACCTGGAGCGCCAAGAGGTACCTTTTTTTCTTGTTTTCTATAAAGACTTACTGTATTTAGTCCATTTCTTTGTTCAATTTTACCAGTTTAGCAATTGTTCCTGTTCAGGTCTCCTTATGTACATTAGTCTTCCTCCATCAGTTGCCATGCTTTCATTCTGTCTCAGCTGCGAAACATTTCCCCTCATTCTCCAGCTCTCCCTCAGCTTATGCAAGGACCCATGTAGGTTTTCTCTATCTTACTATAGTTGTGTTTCTGTTACAAATGTGCACAAAGCTATGTCATTCTACTACTTTCAAAAATACACCTTTTCGCATTGCAGTATTTCTATTAAGTAAGATATACATCCTCAATTACATGTGAATAGGTTTGTTCACACGATAAGCCTTGGAAACAACATGGCAGCCGCGGTTGACTAGAAAGAATTGTTTCCATTGCAGTTTTGCAAAATATAATTTCAATCCAGTCTATCAAAGCTTAAAAACTTTGCATCGCATTTAAAAAAAAATTTCGTTAAATTAATTCAATTGTAATTTTAAAAAAAATTATTGCAGTGTTTTAATTTAGTAAACTTATTTTAGTGATTACAGTACAATTTAATTTTTTTATGGAAATGGAGGTTATTACAGTTTTGCTTGCAAACATTTGGTGTTTTTTTTGCAACACCAAATTCTAAACAGCTGGAAAATATTTCATATTCATCATTAGACTGTCTATGTACGGAAGAAGATTAGGGCCACTCAAAACCGCCTAATTATATATATTGTATGAAATTGTGTTATATCAAGCTGGTCCTATAGTCACTCTGTTGCATATGGAGTCATGTAACAAACGTAATTTAGCTCTAGGATTTAGATTCCTCATTGATGGGACAGGTGTTGTGAATGAAATGGTGCCCACCTTGAAAGAGGTCCTGTGTGTCGCTGAATGTGTGCATTGAAGACTGAAAGACATCTTCTGCCTCCATTTATCTATTAACTACAGTGTGTTAAATTCATGGTAATATGGATTTAAAGACATATCAATTATTGGAAAAAATTTATTTCAGTATAATACGAGAAAAAAGTCAGAATTCTGACTTTTTATTCCTCAGAATTCTGACTTTAATCTAAGAATTCTGACTCTAGTCTCAGAATTCTTTTTTCTCAGAATTCCTTTTTCTCAGAATTCTGAATTTAATGTCAGAATTCTGACTTTTTTCTCAGAATTCTAACTGAATTCTGACAACTAAAAAACATGTTAGCATCAAGCCATAGCCATGTCTGTTTTATACTGAACTAGTTCTCTTGTTTTAATCACCTTCTGCTCTTCCATTAATGAAACACCATCACCTAGGACCCCTCGGGTACATAAAAACTCACATCTTTGTCAGTGAAGCTGAGTGCTCCCACATCTCTTCCTTCATGGTGCCCATCTACATTAAGATCCAAAATTCTGAGATTAAAGTCAGAATTCATAGATTAATCGGAATTCTGGGAAAAGTCAGAATGCTGAGATCAAAGTCAGAATTTTGAGAATTCTGAGAAAGAGAGGCTCATTTCTGGGATTAAAGTCAGAATGCTGAGATTAAAGTCAGAATTTTGAGAATTCTGAGAAAGAAAGGCTCATTTCTGGGATTAAAGTCAGAATTCTGAGATTAAAGTCAGAATCCTGAGAAAAAAATGAGCATTTTGAGATTAGTCAGAATTCTGGGAAAAAGTCAGAATGTTGAGATTAAAGTCAGAATTTTAAGAATTCTGAGAAGGCTGAATTCTGAGATGAAAGTCAGAATTTTGAGGGAAAAAGTCATAATTCTGAGATTAAAGTCGGAATTCTGAGATTAAACTGAAATTATATTTAAAAATCAGTTAACTTTTTTTTTATTATTTCTTCAGTAGCCCCAAACCTCTTCTGCAGCCTATGGGATTGACTTCCGTATAATTGCTCATAAATGAAATAAGTATATTGTTGTTTTTTTTTTTTTTTAGAAATAATTGACATGAATAAAGGGAGCTGTTTAAAAATCGCCCCTCCGCCTTCCCTGATAAATTTCGGCACTAATGTAGCTCCATATGTTCCAGGAAACGCTCGCATCCAGAGGATGCGCTGCCTTCAGAGGCGTGGATTCTCAGCTCCACTGTCTTTTTAACGTCACATCTGCTCCTCGCCTTCAAACCGAGGTGCAGAGAAATGGAGCCCAGCTTTTCTGCATCATAAAAAAGGATGATCCGTCCAGATGTTTCTAATAATAGCCGCTCTTCTTGCTCTTTGCATCATGGATGTCTCCGGAACGGTGTCCCTTCGAGGTAGCGTGGGAATATCTCAGTAGAAAAGGCTCCGGCATCCATTCCTGCGTGGCCGTGGGAGCATCTCCTCTTCCGGGAGGCTGGCTGCAGGCTTGCGTGGGGATGCGTTTCTCCTCTCTCCTCTGCACGCGGGGTTTGTCTCCAGAGGAGCGGTAGGCGATGCGGGAGTATAAGGTGGTGGTGCTGGGCAGCGGCGGGGTGGGCAAGTCCGCCCTCACCGTCCAGTTCGTCACCGGGACGTTCATAGAGAAGTACGACCCGACCATTGAAGATTTCTACAGGAAGGAGATCGAGGTGGACTCCTCTCCATCGGTGCTGGAGATCCTGGACACGGCGGGGACCGAGCAGTTCGCCTCCATGAGGGACCTTTACATCAGGAACGGTCAGGGCTTCATCCTGGTCTACAGCCTGGTCAACCAGCAAAGTTTTCAGGACATCAAGCCCATGAGGGACCAGATCATCAGGGTCAAGAGGTGAGCCTGCCCACATGTTTTTACCACTAGAAGTGTTTTCAATGTTAAAATCAGGAGATTTGCTTGGTTTAGGCCATATGGCTCTTTGCCCAGGGCGGGACCGCCAAGGGGCGCCACAGTTTCAATAATCATAACACAAAACTGATGGATTGTTTTTCACTCAATTATTTTAAACATGTTTTTTTTTCATTTAGAAAAAAACAATAATAATGAACTTTATTGATCTCACTTGGAGAAATTTACCTCCGCATCCCTTTAGGGTTAAGGGTCATGGAACCACTAGGTCACCCCTTGCCTTAAGCAAACAGCAGCATCCTTATTTTAACGTGTGTCTCATAATAACTTTTTTTGGGTGTGTTTCTTGGAAAATTCAAAACATCAAAAAACACTAAGAAGCCCACTTTTTTTATTTTCCCAAATGAAATCCATCTCTATGCTCCCATCCTTTCATCTCCCCCCTCTCCCTCTTCCTCCCCCTGAGTGCTTCGTGAGAGACTCCAACAAGCTTCCTCTGAGGAACCCAGCTGCAGCTCACCTGTCACACAACAACTATCGGCCGTCTCCCGGATTCTGCCTCTTCTTCGTCTCTTACTTGATTTAAAACACTGATCAGCTTTGATCAGTTTAGACAATGACTCAGTCCATCCCATGATCTCATCTCTGTGAGAAAATCTAAGATCTACCCCCCTTTTGAGCCGAGATGCGCTCATAAATTCTTTGCTCCGTGAGGCTGTTCTCTCAAAATGTGCAGAACAGATGATTCTTTAGTCTTTACACAAAGCCAGTTAAAGATATGACTCTATAGAGATTATATGTTTTGATTTAGTAGGACTATTAAGAGAGGGTTAAATAAAAGAATAAATGTTGATAAGCGTTCTCATTTTTTTTATTTTTTTCTCGGAGTGAACCGGTTGACCTGAGTGGAAGCAGCGTCAGAGCTGACGATTCACAGCAGAGGCGAATGCATGAGGGAACTCCACAGACATGAATAATATAACGGCGGCGAAACAGCAGCCTCCAGTCAGCTGCCACCCTAAACAGCTGCCTCTGACTTTCTGCACAATCCCAGATAAGCAGAAAGGGTGAACAACTCCTTAGCTCCTGGTCTCCATTAGCTATCTCTCCTCCATCCAAACTTGTTGCTGAGCCAGCAGCTGTAACAACAAACACCACACAGAGATGTGTGCCCACTCACTAGAGCTTAATGGGATTGTGCCGCGTTGGAAGCCAAGAAGACATCAGGCCTCCATTAGGGAGCCACATGAACTAGACAGCTTATGCAGGGAGACATGAGCAAGAGAAGGTAAGATCCCTGCAGAGCACAACTTTAGCATCTGATTAAACTCATGGAAGCTGTTATGTGTGAAAACAACATCAGGGTGTGGCCTTTTTCCTGTATTATGATCACCTTGGTATGTGGAGGTTATTTCCCCCCCCCTTCCAGCCCAGGAGGAGAGCGCGTTCAAAGCGCCGGAGCTGCCTTTTCACGCTGCAATGATGCTGTGTCTAATAGCAGGAGGTGAGCGTCATGCGCCGCTGAGTAGGAATAGGGTGGAGAGACTTAAAACTACGTGTCCCAGAGGGCACTTTGGTGGAGGTACGGAGCAATTTTCTTGGCAAGAGGCTTTTAGTGTTTGCAATCAAGGTGAAGAGAGTAGTTTAAGCAGGAAAGTACTCATTTAATTGAATGTATTTAGTGCAAGATGCTGGCTAAGTTAACACATTTAACTCAATCTGCAGATACTCCTTATGTTGCTCTAATCCCGTCTAGAATAAACAAGTACCCATAATCCTTTAGGCAGTCTAAAGATTGGGACTAAATAACAAAAACATAGTCCCCTCCTTGGTAATTATATCGCAACCTCTTCAACTTATCTTGTTGCCCCTTAGGGGTACAAAAAATGCTTTGATGTCTATCTCTAATTTCCCACATTGAGATGACTATCACCATTACTCACCACTAGGGAGACTTTCCTCCCAGATGCAAAATGAATGTAATTTCTACAACGCCTGGAACCTTTCAGCGGCTCAAACTGGGAGAGAGGTGGGATATAGCTTTTATAGATCCAATGTATGCTCATTTAATGTGCAATTTTATTCCGTTCTAGGCGGTTTTTGAAAGTGCACTTCAAATAAAGCCGCTTTGATTATTTTTATTTGCTCCAGCTGACTTGTAAGTGGTATATAGACTGTGTATTTTTATCGCAGTGAGATGATTTTTATGCTTTTGCCCATAAACAGGCATGTATGGTATAATAAGTGAGCCAGGTAGCTGTTTAATACAAAGAGGAGGGAATTTGTTTGTGGAAATGGACACAAGAAGTTGTGTCCTCACCAACCAATACTTAAAAAGTGGACATCACTTAAGGCAAGGGGTAATATTTACTGGTCTGTAGATGATTTTTACTCATTTATTTCATCTAAAATATAGATCGAGGGTCTAGAGGGGCTTTAACATGTTGGGAGTTCATTGTGAAGCTCAATACCAAGTCCCTTAAAAAAGCTGAAGGAGTAAAATATTTCATAAACATTTCCCACTTTTGCACATGTGGAGCGTTTCCTGGAACTTATGGAGCTACATTAGTGCCTAAATTTATCAGGGAAGGAGGAGGGGCAATTTTTAAACAACTCTCTTTATTCACGTAAAATTATTTAGCTAAAAAAAAAAGAAAAAAAGTGGGAAATTTCAATAGAGTATGTTTGCAAGTGGGTTGCTCAGTGGAGCAGGGGTTAGCACTGCTGCCTTGTAGCAAGAAGGTTCTGGGTTCGATTCCTGGCCTGGGGTCTTTCTGCATGGTTTTGGCATGTTCTTAGTGGGTTCTCTCTGGGTACTCTGGCTTCCTCCCACAGTCCAAAAACATGACTGTTAGGTTAATTGGCTTCTCTAAATTCTCCTTAGGTGTTAGCGTGTGTGTGTGAATGGTTGTTCGTCTCTGTGTTGCCCTGTGATGGACTGGCGACCTGTCCAGGGTGTGCCCCCCCTCGCCGTAGACAGCTGGAGATCAGCACCCGCGCCCCTCGCGACCCCACTTGGCATAAGCGTGTAAGAAAATGCATGTTTGCATGGATGATTGCAAGCTGCTTTAGGTTGATATCTAACATCTGGTTTAATCTTCACCTAAAAACAAAGTTATGTTGGACTAGTCAAAGTATCTGGGATCAGTCTTCTTGAACGTGATTCTAAGATGTTGCAGCAATGACAGAAAATTCCCTTAATCTGGTCTCATGTCATGCAGAAGCTCTGCCTGCACTGGTAAAGCCCCTGTTACACCATGCCAATGTAGGCGGCATATGCCTGATGTCCCACAATCTTCTAAAACGCTGAACGTCCAACAAAAGCCTAACGCACGGCAGCGTAATGCCCATGAAATAATGCACAAGCCGGTGTCCTGAGGGGAGCAGCGATGTGCCGGGAGGTGTCTGGCCTGCATAAAAAGATAAAAAGAAAGAAGTTGCAGCAGATTCAGCGTCATGTCTGGTAGGAAGTTTGTTGGTCGTGGCCGTAGACGCAGGGAGGATTTCCCCCTCTGAACTCCCTTTCATACCAAAACACTACCAGTACGTCATTAACCTCTTAACATCCACCTCATTTTGGGTTATCCTCGCCTATTTTGCATACCCAAATGGAAAAGCAAATAACTTAGGAACTGTAAGCCCAAATTACATATGCAATGCATTATTTGAAATCTAACACCCTCTAGTTTCCTAATATATAAATTAAAATTTGGTGACTAGAACACAGACCAATCTGCATCAGTTCAAACATGACTCAAAGTTGTTGTTTTTTTATTCTCTGAAATGATAGGTCTTTTTTGAACAGCAGTAGGAAAGACAATCTTGAGAAAAAGCAAGTTTTATTGTATTATATTTGTTCTACATCATGTCAACCACAAATGCAGAAAATTTCAGACTCTAGATATAACAGTTCCAGAGCTGTAGGGTATGGAACTTTTGGTGTCAGCTTGGAGCCGCACTCAATGGCTCCACCTGCTGGTAAAAATTTTACCGATGGAATTTTATGCATTCTGAATTATTACCCCGACTTAAGGTTTTAAGAGGTTAAACAGTAGCTTTAAGTTAGAAACATGTTCAGCGGTCATCTGGAACAAGCCAAATATGTTGATATGCGTTGGAGATAAGTTCTTGATAAGTTATGCATAAGTTACTGAAAGGTTTTGGATAAGGTAGACACCACGACCTATGAGTAACTTTCACTTAATATTAATGTCGCACCATTGCAATTTTTGGCCCCGATACCCTATACCTGCCTGGGTGTGTGTGTGTCTATATGAAGAACTGCATGCTACCTGGATGTAAAATAGCTGCCATCATGGTTTTGTCAAGCTGCTGTCTACCTTTGTGAAGCAGGAAAAATACTAACACAAAGTGAATCCAGTAGAACTTTTTATTGCCTACCTGGAATGGATGACAGTAAACTTTTGCCTCTCAAAATGGTATCGGTGCCCCATTTGTCGATACTTGCCGACACCAATATTTTAGTGCAGTATTGGGGCGAGATACAGGTATTGGTGTCGGTCCAACACTACTTAACGTATGTCAATGATCAGATAACTTACCTCTAACTTATTGTCCACGCACGACGTATTTGTCGTATGTAGATGTGTGTAAGCGTGTTTAGCGTACTTCAGCGTGTTCATAACTTATACAAAACGGATTAATAACTTATGCCAAAATGTTTGCCAGAAATCGTTAAGGCGTGACTAGCGCTTAAAGATCTACTCACCTCAGGATGCTGAATGCTTGGATTACATTAAAAATAAGATTATGCAGATCTACTCTACCACCATTTCTCGGCACATTTATTTTAGGTGAAGCCAGACCTGTTTTCTTAAGTATTAGTCATTACTTACACCACATTAGAATTTAATGTTTTGATTTTTATGAAAACATATTGGCTGGTTTTATTATACCAGAGACTACTAGCTGTAATAAGATTTAAGGAAATATCAGATATTGTTATATTGAATTTATATGAAATG